ATCTCACTTTGTCTCAGATTAAAAAAGGCATTTTGCGGTTGAGCGGCGGCCATTTTGGAGAAAAACTCATTATTACATTACCTTTGAGAAGGCATTGAGTAGTTACTGGTATTCTCAGCTGATATTCATGAGCAATATTCATTCATTTGATGGAAAATATTGAGGAAGTTTAACTAACTTTGATGTAGCAATATKGGCTTTAATGACTAATTCCCATAGTAACTTTCGATCACATTCTCCAATCAGCATGGCAACATTTTTTCCGTACCAATATTCATAACTTTCAATATTCTGTCGGACTAACCACGCTTCAAAAGAATTGAAGACGAGACTTCGAGAAAACAATAGAAAACTTTTTTTTGTTTCCCCAGAGCTGCATCCTCGATTCTTTTGCGAATTAAAATTCAACCAAAGTTTCGAAAGTGGGTTATTGAGTAGTTAAGAGAAACTAATACATGCTTGTATGTGTATAGTTCACCCARGCCATCGAAGGAGAAAATTTCCTTGATGCAACAGATGTTAATGCGTCGTCAAACGACCCCAGGCCCTTTAACGAGCTATCTCCACGGTGTACATCGGACGTGATGCTGGAGGCGACCGACGACGAGCCACCGAGACCATCTGAGGGACAGCACTCGCCAAAACTGTAAATAGCCGGTAAAATGACATGCAACCCCACGTGTCTGCCTATTTAGATGTTTTGAAGGCCCTAATCACACGGCTTATATGCTGGTTCTCCTCACGAGAATCGTTTGAGAACGACCTGTCTCACGACTTGYATATATTGTTGTGCCTGTACACGGCGCATATGTAACAAATAGAAGGCTATTATGTCCCTATTATGTGAACTTAGAAAAAAACTTAAACTTTAACTGAAAATAATTTTTAAGGATGAGCATTAAGGTTCGAATCACAGCTATGCATTACCTAATTATTAGCTCACGAGCTAGCTTCACTAAAATTAACCTGAATGTTTGTGATATTTATGCACCGGGATTCATGAATAACCACATGAATATTCAATCGTAAGATTGAATATATAATTAATAAACCGCCTATAGGGACATGAGATCGTTCTATGTCTACATAAGAGTCATGCATATGGAAATCCATATATGGAATGCGTCCGCCATCTTGAAAAATGAGACCCTAAACACAATGTAGTGTCTTAGAACACATTTCGTAGTTGCTATGTCAACTAATATATCATTATATCGTATTACATTAACTTAACAATAGCTTAGTGATTCGAGTCCCACTTTTCAAGATGGCRGACGCATTGTTCTCCGACAGTACTGATCCGTGTTGAGTACTTGTTCACTAGACAGCCTGGAAAAGTAGGTGTTTTATTAGTGATTGGAATGAAACTAGTATTTGGCTTCAGTACTATAAAAGCTRTATAACTATGAATGGATTTAATCAGTTTTCTAACAATACCAATAATTAAAATTAAGCACACTTCAACGCTAACTTAGAGATTTTTATAAACAATGAAACTCACGCTCGAACCTCGCAATATAACAATGTCGTCATCACATGACAATAACTATTAATTTGCAATCACAGCAGGCCTCTTTTGAATAACCGTCGTTTCTAAAGATGTGACGGTATTCTTTCCAAATCTCCCATGTGCTTGAGGTTTATATTTCAAAACCTGAAACGYGTGCGCGCGACAATTCGCCATTATTTCACAAAACATCTTTTTGGTGAGCTCCTTAATACCCCAGAGATTTTTCTTTCGTATAYGACCGTCCACGTGCATCCAATAGACTTCTGAACCTTTTACGTCACTACTTGATTTTCACTGGATTGTGGAAACAGTTTCTAGTAAAACAAAAACAAAGCAAAAAACAAAAAATAACAACAAAAAACAAAAAAACAACAACAAACAAACAACAAACAAACAAACAAACAAAAAACGAAACGAAACAAAAACTAAAGATATCCGCCATGTTCTGGCCCAAACATGTCCTACAATGCGTTTACGGTACATGACTTAAAAGTTTCAGAGGTCTATAAGAAGCCGGATATTTCACAAAAGCATGCGCATAACATACTGTGATGCCAACATATACTGAAAAATTGGGATAGGAGCGTCCACACGTTTACCTGAAGAAATTATATGCAGAAATGTCCGCTCTGGAGAGCGTATGCAGAAGTCGTCTGAGACTATCTGCGGAGGCAAAACGTCCAGCGGTGGACAYGTGAGGGCGCTTGCGCAGAATGAAAACAGTATGTGGGCACAAAATCTTAGGATTCTTGTGGACGAGGCCTTATATAAGCTATTGAAATAGTTGAATTATTCAGCAGTTACATTTAATTGTTAGCGTTTAGGTTTAAGTTAATTTTTTAGACTGATTTCTAGACATTTTTTATTAGTTTGGAAATGTTGTACTGTTGCATACCAAAAAAGGTCTAATATTAAGATTGATAAGTAGATTTGTTGGATTGCTCGATTGATCAAAAATCCAGATGACAGTTTAAGTCAATCCAGTTAACATTGTTCAGTTGTAAAGACAACAACAAAGTCATTTGCAGAAGACTCTTTTTGAAATTTCCGGGAAAGAATTTTACAGAACTGTGACAAATGAATGCCATCTGTATTCAATGAAATAGCAGCGTGATATTAAATATTATTGAAAATCCTAAAAGATGAAACGTGTGCAGATGACTTAGTTCCTGTCTTGGGTTTTCGACCTGTCCATATAAAACTGTAAATTGAAAAAATAGTACCTACGTCAGACATCACGTGATCGGTCATATCTCTGTGAAGTGAAGAGATACGAACAGCAGTAGATTCCCGTAATATATATATATATTTTTTATATCGAAAACTTTGTAAATAGGTTATAAACTATATATGCTMTGATAAAATAAAAACGTTCAGAACTTGGGGGTTTACCCCTCATGGAATGATGATCTTTATGATAAAGTTATTTTGCCACTTGAAAGGATGGGGTGCAAACATTAAAACAATTGAATAGTGGAAGCCCTCAACCCGTGAAACAAAACTTGAAAATTATCAAAAAATGTGCGATAGTCAAACACACACAAAAGGRAGCGCTGCAATTAGAGCGTTGGAGCATTTCAAACCAATATAAAGTGCTTTTCTTAAATCTGTGAAATATAGACACTATAAAGCTACTCTTGAGTATTCAGGCATTACGATTTGATAGCTGCACCAAACTAGGGCCTGGGCACGAGTATAATCAACAAACATTGAACAGTTTTCCCAGTGGAATTGAAACTGTCCGAGCAACAAACTCAAAATCGAATACTAAATTCTGCATTAGCTTTTTCCTGATGAAAATGTAAAAAAAAAAAACAACACAAGGCAAGTTCCCATATATATTTATATACACCCTTTTAATGTAGCCCCCCAGCCCCCCTTGCTCTGCGGTCCATGATTACATGTAATAGTTGAAAGCTTGGAAAATTTTAGAAAACTCTCACAAAAAGAATTTTGTTTGAAAAGAATGCTCCCCAAGATCATCATAATGAAATAATTTCCTATTTTTCCCTTTAAGATATGTATTACTTCCAAGAGAGGCTGTAATTATCTCGCTCTTATCCATCATCCCGTAGAATTAGATTACACCTGTGTTATTAATCTGGTATGAAGATAATTATTGTATTGCTTATAGATRTTTAYCAGTCMTTACACCGATCGTAATCAGCACTATATGTCTTCAGTGTTCAATAAATAAGCGACAACGTGATATTTTTTTACTTTGTTAAGTAAATACTGATTAATGGGCAAATTCGTCATTAAGAATATAAATGACATACGGAATTTTGTATAAGATATGTGTTTTATGTCATTCTTTTGTTAAACAGGTGTGTGATAATCGCTCTGCTCATAACTCTCGAAACAGAAACCAGTGACAATTAGGTATCAATTGTATATAAACTATTTGCCTGCAGCATACCTTAGTTAAAATATAACGTCAAACATTTTGATCATTTTTGGAAATACTGGTTGATGAGTGATGAGTGATGTTTATTGCAAATAAAACTTACTGAACAGTATTTTGATACTGCACTTACTTGTTTCAAAAGTCAGTTGCAAATTGAACAAAGGAAGTGATGGAGAAAAGCTTTAAATAACGAGAGAGAAATTGAGAACTCTAAAAAATCTATCAAATAAGCGAAGAAATAAATAGGTATATCAGAAATAGAAGAATAAACAAGAAAAAATAAACAAGAACAAACGTCAACGACTCAAAGGTTTTTATTTCTGACATTTAGCACTCAATGCATCCTAATTGCAATAATAATGATACGTTCAACTAGCTGAAGAAGAGCACTTGTGGCACCTTAGTAATTTTGATTAATGTTTTTTGTTCAGTTGGTTTACACTACCTACTGAAATAGTTTAATTTCTTAGAATACTTGAATGAGCA